TTGAGGGCTGGGGCCGCCCCCGGAGGGGGGCCGTGAGGGGGACGGGGGGCGCCTCCCTGAGGGGGTTCGTGAGGAGACGCTGACGAGGCCGCGACCCCTGAGGGGGCCGTGAGGGGGGACGAGGCCGGTTGGTAGCAGGCCGGGGAAGGTGCCCCAGCAGCTGGGCTCGGCCCCGCTGAGCTCCCTGGCCCGGAGGCTTTTCTCCCGCCGTGGAAGCCGGAGGAGGGCTGGGGAGGAGGACGCTGGTGGGAGCTCGAGGTCTCTCCTGCCCTCCCCAGCCCGGGGTAATCCCCTGGGCTTCCCTGACCAGGCATGGCTTTTCTTCAGGTGAGATGCAGGCTGACAGGCCACGAGATGCCATGTCGGCTGTCGGAGCTGCAGGCTTATACTAATGGCAAGAAGTATCAGCGGCTGATGAAGACAGCCAGAGAGTTTGACTATGGCAAGTTTGAGCCCCATATAGTGCCCAGCACAAAGAATCTGTACGTATTCTTCCTCTTGTGTGCCATGCTTCACACTTTGTTCAATCTCAGACATGAAGTGGTCAACCTTTACAAAGTTCTTGAGTCTTTATGGGTTTGGGGAGACTGGGAAAGTCTTTATAAAGTATTTATCAACTCTGAGCACAGTGCTTAAAGTGAGAAGTTACTAAGTAATAGCATACGTAAACTCTGTCGCTGGCTCTTTCTTTCTTTCTGTGTCTGTCAGGCACCAGCTGTTTTGCAAGCTCACTCTCAGACACATCAACAAGTTTCCAGAGCACGTGCTGCGTCACGTCCAAGGGAAGCGCTACCAGAAGGCCCTAAAAACATGTAAGTGGCTTTTCTGAAGATACAACCAGCCAACTTTTTTCCCTGAGCTGTTGAGATCCCAGTAGCTCTGCACAACAGAATGGGATACATTTTCTTTAGGTCGACGGTAACGTACTGCTGTTGCTGTGTGTGCTCCTCAGCTAGGAAGGAAGGTCCCAGATGCAGGGAGCAATAGACCTCTAGCAAATACCTTGGAACATCCTTACTTGAGAGGAGGGGTTCTAAAACTTCCCCAGAGGGGGCGGTTCACACGTCCAGCACAGTCCCTCTGTTAACATCTTTCCCGTCTTTCATGGTCCGTAGTATCGCTGTAGGTTACATGAATGTATATTAGAGTTGGAGCTTGACATACTTTTGAGTTGCGTTTAATATAAGCTAGAGCTGGAAACGAAAAGGAATAAGGTGACTGGGTGGCCTTGCTAAGTGCTGCCCGGCCCCTCGCGCTATTAGATGAGGAGTGCCAGAAGGAAGGAGTGGAGTACGTCCCTGCCTGCTTGCGACAGAAGAAGCACCAGCGGACGCAGCACCCCGATGACCAAATGAACGGGAGCAGGCAGCCTTACAGAAAAGAGGAATTCTGGGAGCCAAAGTCCAGCGATGAGGACGGAGAGGAGACGGACGACAGCATGAGTGACCTGTACCCATGTGAGTAAAAGAACGTTGGTACCATCTATGTCCCAAAGGAAGTTTGTCGGCTCATTTTCTCCTGGCTGCTCTTCACTGCTCCCCGCTGCTCGTCTGCCAGAGGCGTGTGACTTCCATCCAGCTGGGGGTTCTTGGGTTTCAGAAAAGCTTGCCGCTGCCAAATAAGAAATAGCAGTTATCACTAAGTAATAACCAGAGCTGGATCACATAAGGTGTGAGGGGAGGGATACAAGATCCAGCGGGATTCGCTGCTGTAGGTATCTCTGCAGCAAGCGCTCCCGTCTGATAGGAGTTGGTCAGGCCGTTCTGCTGACTGACATCTGCCTTGCTGTAGGAGGGCGGACGCAGAACCGCCTGCGCTGAACAGTTCCCAGAACGGGGCTAGCGAGAGCACCAGGCGCGTTTCTGATAAAACACCAGTGTGTTTATTTCCCAGGTATTTCAGTAGTGACGTGTATATGCTCGGAGACTGGAAGCAGCTTGGCAAATCACCTTAAGATGCCCGCGAAGTAAAGTTAGGGGGAGGCAGAGCCTACCCGCGCAGGGAACTGATCCTGAGCTAAATCTTTGTGTTTTAGCCGCACTCTTCCCAGAAAAAAGCCCAGCAGCTCCACAAACCACAAAGGGCAGCGATGACTTTGCAACAGACAGCGAGGATGAGGATGGTGGGAGAATGGATGTCAGCAGAGCAGTTGGCAACAAAAGAGGAAAGGTGGGAGTCATGCCGCCGCGCGCAGCGGGAGGGGAGCGTGCAGCCGAGATCCCGTCCTGTAGGTGTTTGTCCGACCTATTCCTGTCCGAGAACCTGCAGAAGGTGCAAAGCTGTTCAGGAGAATAGACTTTCCCCCCGTGCCAGCCACTGGCTCGCATCCCGAGGCGTGAGTTACTACCAGTAAACGTTTATCCTAGGGATGTTCCTGCCTGTATAAGTAGCTCATCTTCGACGGGATCCTGCTGCACGCTCTCTTTAACGGGGAGACTGAAACGTGTCTGTGGGTTCTGTAATCTTCCTCCCCATAAACACGCGAACACAGGTTGGACCCTTTTGAAGTCATGGGGTCCTTCTAGACCCTTTTTCTGCCTCTTTTGAGGAGCTGGCCAGGTCCTGCCTTACAGGACATACCCTGATCCTTCTCAGTTCGGGAAGCAGGCAGATGTTACACACATAAAGATGGATAAACCTTTAACTCTCTAAGGCAGTCCCCGAGGAAGGGGCTGGATCCTTTATAACCATCTCAAGCTGGAAAGTTAAGGCTGGATGAAGCTTAGGTTCATTTCTACGGAGAGACTGTCGCTGTATCCAACAAAACCGTATGTCTGTCGGAGAAAGGAATGCTAAGTTGCGGGATAGGGCAAGGAGGCATCCTGGCTGGCTCTCTGACCAGGGCTGTGCTGCTTCCGTCTGGTGGTAAAGGAGGCGACACTCAGTTTCTCTTTAAGCTATCTTGGGCAGGCCTGGATTTGGGTTTTGGAAATAAGCTGATTAACTTTTTTTCTCTACAGAAACAGTCAGGCCCTTTAAAGAAGAAATTCAAGAGTCATCATCGAAAACCCAAGAACTTCAAGAAAGCAACCAACGGCAAATAAATTTTATGATAAATATGTGGCTTGAAGCCTGTTGTGTAACAATTCTAGAAGGTGCACAAGACCATCTGAAGGGTTTGCCCATTCCAGTTAACCGTTACAGCTGGGGAGGGGAATAGCAGGGTGGAATTCAGTTGTATTCTAACAGCCTCAAGCCACCCCCCCACCACCAAGGGAAGGATGACCGCTGCAGCCAAGTTACAGGCTGCCCAGTGCTCGGAGCTCTTTACGGAAAGATGGTTTTCAGTAGGTGGGAGAGAAAGCACGCAAGACCACTAACCAGCATTTCCAGGTAGCCCAACTGTGGAGCGTCACCAGTCACACACGCCAAGTGGATACAAAGATGCCATTGTTTTATTTTGATTGTTTCCAAAAATCAAAACATTTTCAAACACAACTAAGGTACAAAATACAGCATAAAATGAGAATTTATACTTATTTCTTTTTCCACATAGAAAGCAAAAATATATTCAGAATGAATTCCAGAACACTTTGCAGAGCCAATTGACAGCTGACATCCTGCTTGTGAGAGCTTCTCAGCCATGGGGAGAGGTCACTGTATTTTTGGGAGATGCATGAATACAGCAGTGTATGTAGGAAACCAGAATCTTCTGCATCAGGACTCACAGTTAGTAAGTCTGCATATTGTGCTGCCTAGAAATATCGTATAATGCCCTCCACCTAACTGTGCCCCTTTAGTACCGAACTATTTCTGCTGCAAGGGACAGTATCGGTTCCCTTTCTGGGGTCTTTTGTTAGAAAGGGGACTTGATTTTCAGAGGAAACCGGTCAGTATTTCAGCTAGTCCATTATCCAGCTCCTTAGACAGGACACAAAGAAGTTGAGAAAGCCAACTTAAAGGGCTACTTACAGGAGTTGTTTCTATCATTCCATTTATAAATACTATGAACAACAACAGCAGTTAAGATATCCGAGAACAGCTGCCTTGCTGTAGTCTAAAACCCTTCTAGGACCTGCAGTGAAACTGAGCAAAAGCATCCTGTGCTGCGTATCCGTAACTGAAAGGACCAGTTTGTTTTGCTACAAAGAGACAGGCACAGCCAACACTTCAGGTGAAAACTTCTCTTGCAAAACCTGTTCAAAAAGAAAGCCTTCTATGTGACCTGAACTTAAATGCTGGCTTCCCCTCCCATCTACCCCCACATACCAATTTGTTTCCTTCAGCAGCAGCACATCTTGCTATTACATAGGCTTTTTTCCCCTTAAGATGATGAAATCGCTGGTTTAACATTCAACAGTGCTCTTCTATTTGTCATCAGCTCTTTCAGCCCAGTTTTCTCTCCTAAAACGCAACCGTTCAGCTGAACTGTCCAGGTTAGCGTCCTTACCAGGGTCTCCTGGTAAATAGCGCCTGCTGGAGGTGTTCAGCTGAATTACTCCTTGAACACACAGTTGAGCAGCTTTCTCAAGGGAGACAACAGTGCAAGGAATCAACGTGACATCAGCAAGTTGGTAGGGCTCATGCTTTCTAGAGTTCTTTCATAATCTAGTGAAACAGGTTCACCTAGTTGACTAGCGGAGGACAAAATGCCTCCTCTGGGCAGCACTAAGCATGTTCATGGCACAGAGGTTGTGGCACTGAGAGGTGAAAACAGGGCCTTCCCCTCTCCTCACCATTACGCTGAGGAGTTCCTCTCTGAACATGCAAGTTACAACCCTGGCTGCTTATTCACCGCACAGGCTTTGCACTTGCCTTCTTCAGCTATAACTGTTCGCATACAGAGTTGAGACCTGGGGCTCTGGCGGCACACAGCCGACTTCCATGTCTCCTCCCTACACATCCCGGGTGTGGTGTGAGATGGCAGACAGAAGGGGCTGTACTCGAGAGTTCAGCACCCCAGCTCCTCCACTGTTCAGTCAACTGGGACTTTTACAGCTGAGAGACTGACAGAAGTGACTCTAAGCAGCAAAGACTGCAGATTAGAAGATTGACTGCTCTCATCTTGCATGTACTGAGTGCAGGGAAAAGGGTTTCTGTAATTCTGAAGACATTTTCACCAATAACCTGCAATTCAGATATGGATTTGGGGCATATATGGATGGAAGCTGGTTAATAGCAGAAAGGAGCTTTTATTGCGGAACCTGCAGCACAACTTGACTCCCTTCTGGGGAATTCAGGAGGGGCAACTTTGGGGAAAGAATGCTGAATAAATGCTGAATAGAGTTCTTTTGGCACAGAATTTTAACAGAATCTAACATTCTGTCTCTTCAGAATCTCCCCCCCTTCCTTCTTGAAATCTAATTAGCCATACAGGATTCCTGATTAGCAACACAGGATTCTCCCTTGTTCCCCTCAAGAACAGAACTGGGACATGTTAGAAAACCCTCTCCCTTTTCTTAACCTAGAGGGGGGTACAACTACTTTCAGGGTTTTCTTTTTGCCTTCTATTAGGGGGCAGAAAAGACCTCCCCTCTTGTTAAACAAAAGGGAATTACAGGCCTCTGAGCAGCAAAATAAGTGATTTTTTTTTTTTTGATGCTGCTTTCCACCTCGATAAGCAATGCTATAACCAGCAATGGAACTCCTTATGCACGAGACAGTTTGGATGAGGGTGAGAAAGGGGATCCACTTTTTTAGTTATAGCTAGACCCCAACAGCACACTGAATGATACAGCTGTATCTGCTCACAGTACTTCAAATTTTAAAGTATTGCTGACGTTAAAGACAGCAACTGTTCTACTGCAACTCACTGAAGCATCAGCAAAATGCAGGTTCCTTGGGTTAGTTCCAAATCTAGGAAGTTAGAATAAGCCTAGGCAACATTCCTTGAAGAAACAGGATTTTATCTATAATATTACTGGTGCCACTGTAAATCAAATTCAAAACATCTGTGCCTTTAATAGGAAGGGGGCATGTATGTGTAAAATGCTGGCAGTTTTTGTTGAATCCATAGAGAATCAGTTCTGGACTTAATATGTTATGTCCCAAAAAGCGTTGCTATTCCTGTTACCACTCTTTTTTCTTCTCATCCATGGAGACTCCACCAGGGCCCAGTGCAACCACGAGGAGGAGCCCTCCAATTACAGACATGGTCTGGAAGAAATCGTATTTGAGGAAGTCGTGCATGGGCTTGTAGGCTGGGACGGTCCAGAAGGCATTGAAGTAGATGTTGATGCCAAACAGCCAGATGACTAGAGTCAAGGCAGCCAGCTTAGTCTTGAAGCCAATTGCTACCAAGATAATCAGGGCTGTGCCCACAATGTTCTGCAGAACCTGCAAGGAAAAAAAACCCACAAGCTTACATGCGGTTCTTAAATAGATACACAAACATCAGAACAGAGCATGGAGAAGTTCAGCAGAACAGCTTGTCATAACAACTTTTCTAAATATTAATTCTACTAAAAATAGACTTCAGTGATAAGCATTGAGTAGGTCCTGCAGGCAATCTGGGAGTTGGTACTATACTCTAATTCCTTAACTCATACTTTTATACTCAGATACTTACAGAAAAGAAGTTCATATCAAAATGCAGCAGTGTCATGAACATGAGGACCAGCAGCACACGCCCCCCCAGCTGCATGTACTGCTTAGGAGAGCTTTCCCGCATGGTAGGGACACCAGCAAACATGCTCTTCCCCTCTGAGCGCGACTCAGCCAAAAGCAGCAGCAAGCCTCCCCCAAGGGCAAGGTTCCTACAGAAAGATAGAAATGGAGGGGGAAAAAAAAAAAAGCAGTTTATTACAGTTCGCACTGATCTACAGGTTTAAAAATCTTATTGACAATTTCAACTCGGTAAGAATCTGCATGCTAGTGAGGAGTGACCTACTCTGCACCTTGCAATGCACGTCTGCATTAGACTTCACAGCTGAACCAGCAGCATTGTACACAACAACGATTTACATAAGCCTGTGTAGACACATACAGCCTGCCAGAGAAGTCCAGCACCCACAGCTCAGGCACAGTTGCTTAGCATCTGTTACAGCATGAATTTAGTTGTGTCGAAGTTATTCTGTACCTCAGGTTTAGCCGTATATGCCAAAGTAGTTCAGAGGTTGCTTTGAGAAAACAGAACAGCAGTACTGCTAAAAGAAGTTACACATTTACAGGGTTGTAGTAAGCCCAGAGTATAGTTCCTGTGCTGCACCCTGCCCTCCTCTCAGAGGAGAGGGGTGAAAAGGTAACAGGCAGCCATCACTCAGCATTTGACAAGAAAGCTCATGTTTAAGAACTCTGTCTTCTACTTAGAGAATGTGTTAGAGATTTGAAGTCCCAGAAACCACTCTAATATCTACATGCTTCGGTTTTCTTGGAAAATGGCTTCAGTCATGCATAAGCACAGTTGCTATTTCAGCCATTTAGGAAATAATAGCAGCTCACTGATCCAGTCTAGACAGTTGTTTGTGAGCTCTCAGCAAGGAGGTTAGTAGCAGAAGCACTTAGATCCTAGTGGGTTAGGATTAGTCTTCCCTTTCTACAGCACTGAGCCTGCTGTCTATGGTTTAAAAAAATAATCCATACAGTCTGTGTTAAGTGCTGTCATTTCTTGTTTAATGTAAACACATAATTTATAAAATCTTTCTAGTAAATGCTATGTACAAAGATCATTTCCGCTGTCAGAAAGTGGCAGCGACAGACAACAGTTTTCATTCCGTTTTGATAAAAACTTTAAGAAGTAGACGTACCTCATCAAGAACTTTAGGTCCCATAGAATGCTGTATGCAATAGTCTAAGCAAAGAAGAAAACAGGTTATAACACCATATAAATTACACTGAGGTTCTGAATTTATGATATAATCTCAAGCCTGTACTATCCATAGCAGAAGTCAATTAGAAGTATGTTATACTGAAAGAAACAAGGTAGGTTACATCAATGTGGTCCAATGAGTCAGTGTAAAACAGGAAACAGAAGCCAGAATCTGACTTGTGCTTTAGCGCCCACAAAAATTCATCAGTTTTGAACAGGAAGAATGCTGCTAGCTAGGATCCTTTGCGATGGGGACAGTCCTTTATAAAAGCTGTGTGCTGAAGGCCAAAGCAACTGCAAGTTCCACATTTGGCACGTTACTGCCATACAGGTAAATGGCAAGTTACTTTTGCTAAATTGGTCAAGGTCAAGTATTGAATCAACATCTCTAACTGATTAACTGCAGTTACAGCCAAGGATCTATCGGGCACGTCAGAAGAACAGAAGCAGCAAAATAGTTCAATGCCACCGAGGGCTGGCACTAGGCCAGGGTGGAGAAAAACTCCAGGGTTGCGAGTTGTATTTAAATATGTTGGTAGTATTGAGGCTAAGGGAGAAGATTTGAAAGATATGGTTTAGAAGGGCTGAAGACTTAAGCCTCCTACCTGTAATGCTATAATTCCAAACAGTCCAAAGCAGGCGTATTGCACAAAGTTCCTACTCAGCACCAGGATACAGCCGCCTGAGTTGGGGAAATTGAACACAGTTACGCTTCTGGCTTGCACAGGAAAAGATGCTGCAGGA